CAGCAGTGGTGGTTTCCAAATCTCTTAGCTCACAGATGCCAAAGACAACTTAGAAGGTGAGCAGGAAAGGTCTGTTACATATGGGTGAGAGTGGAGTGCAGTCCAACACAGGCCACACCAGCACAGCTTAAGCCATAGCAAATCGAGAGTAGGCCTGGGGAGCCACTGATTCAGCAGTGGCAACAGCTGTTTCTGGAGCTCTCTTCCCATAGAAGGTGAGGGAGTTGAACAACTGGTCAGAAAGACATTACAGGGGTGTTTTGTTATCACTGAGACAGGACTCTGTGGCCTTGCCTATACTTAACTCTGGGTTGTAGTTCTGGGTAGAAGTCCCAGGGTGAGAAACAATACTGTAACAGAGCTTGCAGCCACAGTGGAGGGGGGACTCTCCTCACAGTTTCAGGGCAGAAAAGAGTGCTTATGATTACTCATGGACCAGAGCACAGGTCAGGAGAGTAGTAAACACCTCTCTTTGGATCATACCACCTTGGAAGACCTGAAAATTTACAGGTCTCTAGAAGTATTTCTGAAAAAACCTGCACAAAACCTCTGAAGCTTGGGATAGTGCGCCCTCCACCCTGGAAGCAGAGCTTTGCTTTAAAAAAAGACTTAAAAGATGAATAAGCTGGAAAAATGAGCAAACAGTGGGAGGGGAAAGAAAAACCTCTGACTATAGAAAGTTACTATGGTGACATGGAAGCTCAAAACATTCAGACAGAAGAAGACATAAAAGTCAAAGCTTCTACATTCAAAACCTCCAAGAAAAATATGAATTGGTCTCAAGCCATGGAAGAGGATTTTGAAAATAAAGAGAGGAAAAATTGGGAAGAAAAATGAGAGTGATATAAGAAAATCTTGAAAAACGAGTCAATAGCTTGGTGAAGGACATTCAAAAAATATTGAAGAAAGTAACACCTTAAAAAAGAGACTAGGCCAAATGGTAAAAATGGCACAAAAAGTCAATGAGGAGAAGAATGCCTTAAAAAGCAGAATTGGCCAAATGGAAGAAGAGGCACAAAAGCTCGCTGAAGAAAATAATTCCTTAAAAATTAGAATTGAGCAAATGGAAGTTAAAGACTTTATAAGAAATCAAGAAACAATAAAATAAAAACCAAAAGAATGAAAAGAAATAGAAGACAATGTGAAATGTGACTTTGGAAAAACAAACAACCTGGAAAAAATCCAGGAGAAATAACTTAAAAATTATTGGTACTACCTGAAAACCATGGTCAAAATTAAAAAGAAAAAGAGCCTAGACATCATCTTTCAAAAATGTATCAAGTAAAACTACCCCAATATTCTAGAACCAAGGACAAAATAGATTTTGAAAGAATCCACCAATCACCTCCTGAATGAGATCCCAAAATGAAAACTCCTAGGAATATTATAGCCAAATTCCAGAGCTCCCAGGTCATACAGAAAATATTGCAAGCAGCCAGAAAGAAACAATTCGAGTGTCACGAAGTCACAGTCAGGACAACACAAGATTTAGCAGCTTCCACATTAAAATATCAGAGGCTTTGATGTTCCAGAGGGCAAAGAAGCTAGGATTACAACCAAGAATTGCCTAATCAACAAAACTGAGCATAATCCTTCAAGGGAAAAATGAATATTCAATGAAATAGAGGACTTCCAAGAATTCTTGATGAAAAGATCAGATCTGAATTGAAAATTTTACTTTCAAATAGAAGACTCAAGAGAAGAATAGGAAGTAAACAGGAAAGAGAAGTCATAAGGGACTTAATAAGGTTAAACTATTTACATTCCTATATGGGAAAATGATACTTGTAACTCATAAAGACTTTCTCATTATTATTGCAGTTAGAAGGAGCTATATATATATATATATATATATATATATATATATATATATATATATATATATATATATATATATATATATAGACAGAGATCACAGATCTGAGTTGAATATGAAGGGATGATATAAAAAAAATTAAGGGCTGAGAGAGTAATGTAATAGAAGAAAGGGAAAGGGAGGAGTAGAATGGGGTAAAGTATCTCATATAAAAGAGGCAAGTAAAACCTTTCACAGTAGAGGGGAAGATGAGGGAGTTGAGGGAGGGGGAGTGAGTAAACCTTACTCTCATTAGAATTTGCTAAAAGAGGGAATAACATACACATTCATTTGTGTATAGATATCTACTTACCCTACAGGAAAGTATGAGGGTAAGGGGATAAGAAAAGGAGGGAAGGTTGATAGAAGGGAGAGGAAATTGGGGGAGGGGATAGTCATAAGCAAAATACTTTTGAAGAAGGACAGGGTAAAAGGAGAGAGGGAATATAATAAACAGTGGGGGGGAGATGGAGGGAAATACATTTATCAGTACTAACTGAAAAAAAATGTTGAAGTAAGTTTTTCTCATAAAGTCCTCATTTCTCAAACATATAGAGAATGGAGGCAAATTTATAAAAATTGAAGCTATTCCCCAACTGATAAATGATGAAAATATATGAACAGTTTTCAGATGAAGTAATCAAAGCTATCTATGTTCATATGAAACATGCTCTCATTATTGACTAAAGAAATGTAAATTAAAACAATTTTGATGCACTGCCTCATGCCTATTAGAGTGACTAATACAACAGAAAAAAATGACAAATATTGGTGGGGATGTGCAAAAGTAGGACATTAATGCACTAGTGGTAGAGTTGTGAACTGATTCAATCATTGTGCAGATCAATTTGGAACTATGTTCAAAGGGCTAAAAATATATGAGTATCCTTTGACCACTACTAAGTCTATAACCCAAAAGAGATAAAAAAGGAAAAGGACCTATATCTACAAAAATATTTATAGCAGCTCTTCTATAGCGGCAAAGAATTGGAAATCGAGGGGATGCCCATCAATTGGGGAATGGCTGAACCAATTGTGATATGTGATTATGATGGAATACAATTGTGCTATAAAAATTATGAGTAGAATGCTCACAGAAAAACATGCAAAGACTTACATGAGCTGATGCAGTGTGAAATGTACTGTGTACAAAGTAACAACAGTATTGTAAGATGATCAGTTGTGAATGAATTAGCTATTCTCAGCAACATAGTAATCCAAGACAACTCTGAAGGATTTATGATGAAAAATGCTATCCATCACCAGAGAAAGAACTGATGGTGTCTGAATAGAGATTGAAGTATACTTTTTTAGCTTTCTTTTTCTTTTTCTTTTTTGGTCTGTGTTTTCTTTTACAACATGACTACTATGGAATGTTTTGCATGATTTGCATGACTACACATGTATAACCTATATTGAATTGCCTACCTTTTTGGTGAGGGGGTGTGGAAAGGGAGGAAGGGAGATAATTTGGAACTCAAAGTTTTAGAAACAAATGTTAAAAATTGTTTTTATGTGTAGCTGGAGAAAATAAAATGCTAACTAAAAAAGGAAGTAATGGGATTAGATACATCCCCAACATAAAGCAATTATGTCTAATGGCAATTTGATAAATGACACTGAGCAGAAAGTAGCAGACAGCAGGGCAATAACATCCCTAGAGGACACTGGTAGCTCTGCAATGTCAAAAGAATGAACTGTCCCAACCTTATATCCTCCATGTGTGGTGGAGTCCTCCAAGCAAGGTTCCTGGCCAGATGAACTAGTTCCATATGTCCTTTAAGAATGTTCCCTTGCTACACATGACCTCTAAATACATATGTGTGTGTATATATATAATTATGTGTATATATTTTTATATATATATATACACACAAACATATATATATGTATATATATATGTGTGTGTGTCTGTATATCTATATATGTATATATATATATATGTATGTATATGCATATACATATGTACACATATGCTATCTCTCTCCTACCAGTGGTGTGGTAATCTCTGTGAGGATATGTATATGGGAAGATATTTCCTTGTCATTTTTTTGTCTTTTCTATTTGATAAATGCCTTTTTAAAAAATGTATGTTGTCTTCTGCTTTATCAGTAAAAGTAAGCACATTGATAGGGGCTTCTGGCTATGCTATGCTATACTGACCCACAGAATGCATAAAAGTTAGAATTCCCCAAAGAAGATACCAGAGATATCATAGCATAGGCATTTTTGCTTCTGCTCTTTTGCTTGCTTCCTGGTTAATGACTGAGTCTTGATGATTAATGTTTCCTAAAGTCTTCATATAAATAAATAAGAGGAATAGGTGCCTGTCAACCATCCAACTGCAAGTATGTCAGTCTTTTCATTCTTATCTATAAATGTATGCTAATTAACAAACTAAAAAATCTTTATTGTAACTGTAGGTATCTCAAAAATAATTCAATACATGGTTATATTCCATAATTTATATTTTGTGTTGTTTGACTTATTTTTTTCTCCCTTTCTCACCCTAACTTAAGGTACAACAGCCACTCATGGACCTGGCTCCACTACTGATAAAAAAGAAGGCTTTGATCCATTCTATTATTGATATAAGACAATTCACCTTTACTTTAGCAGCTTGGTTTAACTCTCTCCAGCTTCCAGGGCTCATCATACTGGTGCTGGACTTAGTGTGTACATCCAATTGGCTTTAGCCTTACTACAGCTTAGAACTCCCAAACTCAAGTGATCTACCATCCTCAGCCTCCACAGTAGCAGTAATTATAATTATGCATCACAACCCACAGCTAAATTTTTATTATCCACTTTTTACTCAGAAGTACACTTTTGTTTATGAAATTATTTCCTTCCTTAAGAACAGAAGCCTCTCAGAAAGTTGTTTGCATAAAGCAAAGTAGATGACATAAATATGTGTTGAATATGTTTTCAGTCTCTAAGGTTTGAGTTTAAGTAATGGTGACTAAGTTGTCATTGTTGAAAATTATCTCTCATTAAAATGTGTTATCCATCAACTTGGTTATTTCTAAGGTGTCTTCTTTAAAGTAACCAATTCACTTACAAAGTTATTTAGTTTAGATTATGGTAAAGAAGTGGTAATCTAATCATGGAACAAAGAGATTATAAAAATATTTTGAAATCTTACCTGGTCCCAAGGAAAGATGGAGCCTCCAAAACACATGAACAAATATCCCATGGCAACGAGGCATACCCATATTACCAAAGAGAAAACACGAAGCAGCTTCTTAAATACAGACTCAATGCAGACGAGAATAAATATTGCAAAGAAAATAGCAAGAGCTGTTGGAACTGTTATTAAAAACGCCACATGTTCTTCAACTGCCTAAGAAAAGAAAGAAAAAAAAGTATCAATTTAAAGACACTTGGATTCAAGAATGATTTATGTTGTTAAAATCCAATGATAAATAATAAATGTCAAAGAATATGGGAATAAAACCATTCTTTTAAGAGTTAACTGGTTTGAATAATTTGAAAACTAAGTTAATATGAAAGAGAAACATCTGCATAAATACTACAATATGAAACACTCTATAAAGTGTCAAAGCAAATTTATTCTCATATGTATAGGCTGCGTAATAAATCAAGAGAGTAATTTTGTTCAAAACAATACAAAAAAGCATAAAATTCAGGAAAATGAAATCTACTTAACCCAATCCAGGAGAGCAGAATTGGATTTACATTAAAGAAAAATATTCATACATATAGATAATCATTGATATATATTGCATTTAAAATATTTTAACCATATCAACTACATCTAAAAGTAAAACTATGCCATTCTCTGTACAAAGTGATCAAATTGATAAAAGAGAATAGAAATAATGGCAGTTGGAAATAGAGCCATAAAGTGAAGACAGAAGACTAGCCTACTCCAATTCATCATGTTTTGTTACTTTCCTTCTCAACTTTTGGAACCTAAGATAGGTTTGTAAATTTTGCACATTTTTACTGGTGTTTCCTGCCATGCTCATTTTCTCATTCCTCTTCTTATGTAGGTAAATAGAGTAAAAAAAATATTTTTGAAGTCTTGGATATCAAGGAATGAAGGTGGCAGAGAGGGAATCTACAGGTCAAAGAACACCATGAGCAAAGACCTAGACTTGAAAAAAACTCTGGACAAAATTTAGAAGCTGAAAAGAAGTTTGATTATGGCATAAAGTACTTGTTAGAGGGAAACTACCAAATAAGGCTGAAAAATTAGATTGCCGTAAAATTGTGGAGGGCTCTGAATTGGAAATACATAGAGTGGATTTTAATGGGTGGCTAATAGGCAGCCAAAGAAGGATTTGAGTACTGGAGTGATGTGTTCAGGCTTTCATATGTAGAATTTAAATACAACTATATTTTTCCCCAAATTTTGTCAGTAGTTCAATTTCTTTTTTACTGTTTTGTTTACCTTTCCATATAATTACTCCAAATTTTGGTTCTTGTACTATATTTAGAACCTCGTATAGGCTACTAGGTGGCCCAATGGATAGAGGTCTGGGCCTGACATCTGGAAGATCTAGTTTCAATTGCAGTGGCTGTGTGACTATGAAAAAAGTCACTTAATATCTCTCTGCTTCAGTTTCCTCAATAGTAAAATTAGGACAATAAGAGAATCTATAGGTGTGAGAATCAAATGAGAATACATTTGTAAAGTGCTTAGCATAGTGCCTGGCACATAGTTGGAATGAAATAAATACCTGCTTACTTTCCTTCCATCTAATCTGTAAAACTTAAAACAGGCAAATTAGGCAACATTATTTTATTGCTTTTCTAAATGCTGTACCATTCATATCACTACCATCAGCAGCATTTACTGTCAGCAAATTCATTTTAGTGAAGAGAATCTTTAAAGCTAAAAATTAGGATATATCTCACTGTGTAGATCATTCATCACTAACATCCTTACTTATTTCATTATTATTGAAGTCTACCAGTGTGCAGCACAATTTATTGAACTCAATATTGTTAAATTAATATAGACCTTAGTCATTCTCCTACCTCTGAAGAGGTAGGATTTGCATGTAGGAACCATCATAGAATTTGCATGTAGGAACTACCTTACTGGTTATCTATTCCAATATCAACATTTATAGAAAACTAAGTCCTAGAAAGGAAAAGTCACTCACACCAAATACACACAGAAAGCAATACTGCTGGTTTCAACCCGATTTATTTTATTTCATATTCAGTGCTCTTTTTGGTACAACACACTGGTTCTGTTCCTTCCCCTGCCCCCACTTCACCAGTTCATCATTATCTTCATTGATTCCTCAGACTTTTGTAATTCCTTAATGTGGAAGCTTCCCAAGTTTTTCTCTTTGCTCTCACCTCGGTTCAATTCATACTCTTCATCACTTCCAGAAAATCTTATTCCTAGGTCATGTTATCTGCTGCTAATTGTTTTTTTTTTCAGATGCTTCCTATTGAATACCAATTACTGTTCAAACTCTTTTACTTGAAAATAAAGGTCCACCATAAATCCCAGATTAATCTCCTCTGTACACTAAGTGCTCCAACGAAGGCTTCTGACCACTCTATATATACTCAAAGTGCCCTTTTCTTCTTTTGTCAAATTCCCACCATGCTCTAAAACCTGTCAAATATCATTTCTCTCCAGAACCATTTCGCATTCCTAAATCAGTAGGAAACTTCATTCTCAGATATCTTTGATGCTTCTATTTTTTTAACCATATAATATACTTACTGTGTAAGTAGGTAGATGGTAACTCAGTAGAGCCATACTTAGAGTCATGAAGACCTGAATTAAAATCTTGCTTCAGGCACTTCCTAACTATACAATGCTGGGCAATTCACTTAACTTCTGTCTTCTTCAGTTTCCTCGTCTCTAAAATGAGGGCAGTAATAGTATCTGCCTCAAAGAGCAGTTGTGAAGATTAAATAAAAAAAATATGTAAAGCACTTTACAAACCTTAAAGCATGTATGTGTGTGTGTATGTATGTGTGTGTGTGTGTGTATATATGTATGTATATATACACATAAATATATACACATACATATATATACACATACATATATGTATGTATATAATATATGAGTCAGCTGTTATTATTCTTATAATTATGTACTATTATACCTTATAACTAGAGGTTTTCATTCTTTATCCCATAACAGACTATGAACTCCTGATGGCAGAGACTATTTTTTAGCAAAACTTTGTAATTCTCAAAGTGCCTTAGTAGTATTCCATATATAGTATGTACTTAATATATGTTTAAGATATCATAGAATATATTGTATCATTATTCTCTCTATATGTAGTAGTATCAAATTACTAACTTATTATTTATATACTGTTCGGGTTTTTATAATCAAGGAGAAAGAAGCTTAGTACCTTTAGCATGCTTTAGGTATCTTTACCCTATAGCTGTGTGACCCTGCACAAGTTACTTAACCATGATTGCCTCACCAAAAGGCAAAAAATATCTTTACCCTAGATTCACACTTTGTTGCTAACATTACCTTTTCATCAAGACAGAGTGCCCTTTCAATTATTTAACCATTGTTCACAGTGACCTCAATTTCAACTTGTGATTTTACCTAACAAATGATTTTATCAAATGATAAACTTACCAATTTATATACTTAAAATAGCTATGGTAAAGTCCATAGTCAAATATGGGGCAGCTATGTTGCACAATGGATATAGCACCGGGCCTTGATTCAGGAAAACCTAAGTTTAAATCTGTCCTTAGACACTTACCAGCAGTGTGACCCTGGGCACATCACTTAACACTGTTTTCCTCAGTTCCCTCATCTGTAAAATAAGATGGAGAAGGAAACAGCAAACCATTCCAGTATCTTTTCCAAGAAAACCACAAATGGGATCATGAAGAGTTGGACATGGTTGAAATGACTAAACAACATATTCAAATATATGATAAGGAAAATCATTCTTTTCCATTATTTTTCTTTCTTTTTTTTTAAGTGGAGAAAATAGTCTCAAATGCCATGTATGAGCAAATGATGTGAAATATATGCTAAAGCTTTGCTTCTGAAAACTAGAGAAATATTGAAAACTAGAAGAAACACTTATTTTTAGAAAGAAAAAGATTCTTTAGAATTCTAGGAAGCAGGTTGGCGTAAGAGTAAGACCACAAGATGGATTTGAGTTCCAGGTTAGTTACTAGCTCATGATCTTGGGCAAACTCAGCCTCTCTCTTCAGTGACCTTATCCATGAAAGGAGGAAATAATTGCTGAGATTCCTTCTACTTTTGAGATAATATTAGATGAAAGTTGCTTGAAAAGCATATGCAGCTGAAGGAAAAACTTAAGAATTGGAGCTACCTGAAACCACACAAGGTGCCTTAGGAGTTGCATTAACTCTTAGATCTAAAGCTGGAAATGATCTCAGAAGTCACCAACATCAATTCTTTCATTTTACAGATGAGGAAACTGAGATCCATAGAAGCAAAATTACTTGTCTATGATCAAACACAGAGTAAGCAGTAAAAAGGTGGGACCTGAACCCAGTTCCTCCACTTCCAGGACCTGAACTCTTTCAATTATACCATGCTGCCTCCTCACTGGATGTCTTAAAACAAAGGCTGGGTGCCCATTTGTCAGACATGGTATAGAGGGCACATTCTATCATGTTATTTATCAGGTGTGGCTTCAACTACATAACCATTAAAGTCTTTTTTAGCTTTAAGACTCCATGATTTGGTATGGTCATCTCTTTGTCAGTTTTGGATACTCTGAAGGGCTGAGAACTCCCCAAGAAAGGGGAGCAGTCCTTAACCTAGACCATATTTTCCTTTTGAACTATAATTATGAAATGGTTCTAATGTGGGCTCTTTGATGAAATAAAAACTTTTAAAAATGCTACAAAGAAAATACACTGGGGTATCCATTGATGAGTTCAAAGGGTCCTATCCAGGCTGTTCTCTCTCTGTCTCTCTGTCTCTGTCTCTCTCTGTCTCTCTCTCTCTCTCTCTCTCTCTCTCTCTCTCTCTCTGTCTCTCTCTCTCTCTCCTCAAGTCTTCCTACACTCAACCAGTTCAATTGTTTTCTTAAAAATAAGAGAAATAATTGAGGACATTTCTTTAAACATGAGAAGGCAAGATTCTGAATCTCCTTCCCCTTTCAGTTCAAAATGAACAGGAAAAGGAATGAAGCCATGCTTACACAGAAGCATGCTTTAAAAGAAGTTTTCTCCCAAACAACCTTTAGTTACATTGTTCAATTTTAATATGTTAGAGCAAAAATAGTGAATTCTAAAATCAACAGACACTAAAATAGAACTTTTCAAATCAAGGTAAATCACTTTTCAAAGCCTTTTTTTTCCTCTCATATTCCATACAAGGGGAGAAGG